ACCGCACAGCCCTTTCCCCCAAAGGCTTTCAAGAGTGCTGCTCTCCTACCTGTGTAGCTGATTATAAGAAGGCAAGCTACGTGCACAAAACCCGACACGCTGAGAACTCTGGACAAGACTTCTCTTTCTCTCTTCATTTTGGGTTTGGTTTTAGGTCCTTCTCGCACACAATTAGCATGATTTGTCCACTCTGGGCACGTCCCTTAGTACCGCTTGGAGTTGTTCTGCCACCACTGAACTCTGCCAAGTCCTCTTTCAATAGACAGAGCCTCTGTGTGTTGTTGTGGGGTGTTGGTCCCCCCCTCCCCCTTTTCTTCTCTTTTGGTCAGACCTGATGTTTTCCAGTTTCGTGAGCCTTACATCCTCGGTTTCAAGGGATTAGCTGGCCATGCATTAAAAAACAACAACACATGACCAATATTCCCAAACTTGCGAAGATAATATCGCAGCAAAAGCCTGATTTGTTTTTCAGAGTTTCTTAGAACAAGGAGGTGGCTCAGAATTCCAGATCACTGTCTGCAGCCTCACTCCCACAGTTCCTAGGGAGCCTGACACATGCCACGCTGTACCCACAACTCTCTGAAATGCACGTTCTGGCAGGCGACAGAGGGGAATGCTGGGAGCCATTTGCATGCCCTGGCCTTGAAAAGGTACTCTGTGAGATTGTGCTCCTTGTGGCAGCAGTTCTATGTAGCTTCCTGGGCTTTGGCTATTAGCTGGCAAATCTGCCCCAAGGAGTCGCATCAGTTGGCAGGTTGGAGGGAGGATTTCTGGAGAGGCTGTGACATTTGCAGGCAGGATAGCTTCCCAACAATGGATCCAGCAAAGGCTTGTTAGACCAATAGTCTTTGCCCTGTTCAAATTAGGAAGCCACTCTTAGTTCAAAAACACTGATTTTTCATTTATTGGTAAGACATACATTCCACCTTTCAACTGAATGATCTTCATGGTGGCTTAGATTGTAATAAAACACACATGCCAAAAATACAAAAACATCACATACCCCAAACTGAAACCCACACAGCCTAGCAACCCTTAACCCTGGCCAATGGATGTATTTATTCTGAAGATTTCTACTCCACCTTTCAGTCAAATGATTCGCAAGAGGATGGGCCATAGTACAATGATAGAGCACAAGGCTGTCAGAAAATTATACCAGAAACAAAAATGGGAGCAGAAATCCCCACAATCTGCATGTTCGTCCAACATATCAGGAACAGAAATCACACAAGTGAATACGAGTTGTGTTTGCTAGTGTTGCTGTTTTAGTCGGCAAAGTTATTTTCTGCATTTTAAAAAAAAACATTTCTCTTCTACTGAAATGCATTGCAATGAATTAGGTAACTGATTACATAAGTTTCAGCCATAGAGTATAGCGAGACAAGTAAGATAGGTTTTAGCAGAAACCAAACTGCAGGGGAACAGAAACAATACGGAATGTGACCATGTTAAGCTTCCACGGTTACTGAGTCAAAACTCTACTTTGAGCTTCAGCATTGGCTCTGCTGTCCTCCCTACACCCTCCTAACTAGGACAGCATTCCAGGCTTGAAGTCCCAATTAGTCTCCTTTTGTCATCCCAAATCTTCTGAACAAGGCTGTGTACACATTCCCCTTTACTCAGTATCCTGTGCTAGCTTGTTAAGGGGTGCACACACAGTCTTAGCCACAATCTATACCTACACAATGTTGGTCACAATGTGTCTATCCCTTCCAGACCACACTCGATCCAAACTGAGAAAAATACCAACCTAACTGTGTTTTAAGCTGGTAATGTGTACAGAGCCTCAGACACAGTCACCAGGCACAGCCAATAGCAGAAATTAACTAAACACTCTTATTCCAGCTCTGTTGTCGTCGATAAATGCATTATTTACTATCAAGTGGAACATGCCAATTGTTCCAAAAAGGCTGATTAAAGTAAGAAGCGGTGGTCCCCGAAATGCTCATTTGATCCTGTTTATTGTCTGTGTCTTCCAAATGCTAGCAATTAAAACCCTTTGCTTTGAATCTATCCACAGGGCCAGGGACTTCGGAGGCTGGTGAGTGCATTTCAGTGTGTTTTGAGCTATTCCTGTGAAATATTTCTTTTCCAAGGAGGGGGTGGAGTTTTTCCCTCCTCCCATAAGTATTCCCGTTCTGTTTTTAAATTGAAACAGCTAATCTCTCCACACTCTTTTCTGCTGCTGGAGTTCTTGGCCTCCACACAGTGCAAAGTCACAAACAAAAGCTTTGTTTTCAGCAAGGCAAGCCAATATATTGCTGAATGCTGCAGGCCTTTGTTCCAGCTGGCCTGTCTACCCTTTTGGTGAATATAGTCAGATAAAACCCTCATGACACCCAGCCTACTAGCAGAGATGAGAAGGACCACCAGAAATACTGTAACTGTAATGCATCCTTGTAGCACAGGTGTAGTGGTAAATGTTGACGTGAAGGCATCCATTCTGACAGCCCCCAAAGGAGAGCCCAAAAATTCAGGCAGCTGTGTTGATCCATTATCACACACCCACACAAAAGAACAGTAGTAAATAGCACAATACCCAGTTTATTAGGATCAGCATGACTGCAACCTTATGCATAGTTTCCTGGGACTAGCAGGCTCCATAGAACTTAATGGTGACTAGATAGCTTTTACTTGTAAAACACATTGAGCCTTAACAAAAGAACTTTAGCCAGCTGACATTCAGCCTTTAGCTTTTAATTGAAAATGCAGGCGATTCATAGCAAAACTCAAATCTTTCAGAGCCTGTCTACCTTTTCAACGACGTGTTGGTGATATGGTCAGATGAGTTTGGATGATTATTTTGGAGCCTTTTATAGATACTTCAAGACATCTTAATGCATAGAGAATAGCAGCTAATCCCAAATCTAATAAGAGCAAATGTGCCTGCTGGCCACACCTCTCTGGAAGCATTAATGTTGACCTGCACACCTGTAGGATATTTTTCCATTAAGCATAGCCACTGGACATCAGTATTGGGAAGCGTTGCCAGTAGCCACAGTCCTGGTCCCTTCCCTATAGGGAAGTCCCTGCACCCGTCATGTCTAACATCTTTTTGCTGAATTGTTGTGAGCTGTTTCGACAGCAAAGCTTGGCTGAAAAGCAAGATATACATAAAATGGAATAAGCAAATAAATGGAGGATAGAACCAATGATCCAGCCCTACCCTCCATGCATTGATTCTGTTGTTGTTGTTGTTGTTTAGTCGTGTCCGACTCTTCATGACCCCATGGACCAGAGCACGCCAGGCACTCCTGTCTTCCACTGCCTCCCTCACTTTGGTCAAACTCATGTTTGTAGTTTCGAGAACACTGTCCAACCATCTCGTCCTCTGTCGTCCCCTTCTCCTTGTGCCCTCCATCTTTCCCAACATCAGGGTCTTTTCCAGGGAGTCTTCTCTTCTCATGAGGTGGCCAAAGTATTGGAGCCTCAGCTTCAGGATCTGTCCTTCCAGTGAGCACTTAGGGCTGATTTCCTTCAGAATGGATAGGTTTGTTCTTCTTGCAGTCCATGGGACTCTCAAGAGTCTCCTCCAGCACCACAATTCAAAAGCATCAATTCTTTGGCAATCAGCCTTCTTTATGGTCCAGCTCTCACTTCCATACATCACTACTGGGAAAACCATAGATTTAACTATACGGACCTTTGTTGGCAAGGTGATGTCTCTGCTTTTTAAGATGCTGTAATTTGAACCAGAGCCAAGACCCAGAACACTCTTTTCAAGTGTTAGGAGAGCAATGTGGTGTAGTGTAGCAAGGGACTAGGAGTGGGGAAACCAAAGTTCAAACTCTCCCTCTTCCATAAAGTTCACTGGGGGGCTTTAGCAATGGCAGTCTCAACCTGATGAAGCCCACAAGGTTGTTGTGAAAACAGAATGGGTGGAGGGGAAGCCAGCATGCCACCTGGAGCCTGCTGGAGAAAGCCTGAGCTCTAGTAAGTGCAGCAGAGGTGAGTCTGGAACCTTTGTCACACAGCTTTTAGCAAACGCCGAAGACGCACCTCTTCGTCCTGGCCTTTGGCACTTGGGATGTATTTTTCTACAACCCACCTTATTTCTGTGACTGCAAGTTGCTTTAAATTCTTTTTAATATTGTGTTTTAACTGTTCTGCAAGCTGCCCTTCAACCTTTGGGTAAAGAGCAGGTAATAATAATAAATGTAACACATAAAGCTCTGCTCTAATAACAAAAGTGCCTCTGAGCACGTGCCAACTTCTTTTCTGTCAGGCTCCTAAAATTTATTATTATTATTTATTAAATTTGTATACCGCCCTATACCCATCGATCTCAGGGCAGTTCACAACATGTCCACCACTAGATAGCAGGCCCCTTCCTGGCAGAGTCCAGCAATTCAAAAGTGCCAAGGTATCTTAACATCTCTTTTATATGCATTCGACTGATAAAATTTCCAATTAGGTACCCTGTTAACCGAGGGATTCCATGTTCCTTAGTTTAGTATGCCAGCCTAGGGCCATAATAATATTCCTTCAATATTCCTTAATTTGGAATTTCCACACAAACCCTTGGGGAGTGGTTGAGATTGAAGAAAGAAGTCCTGGAGTTTACGCAAACCATGTATTGGCTTTTTAATATTTTTTCATTTCTAGGTTCCTCTTATTTCCACCCCAACCCAGTTTTATTATTCTGTGAACCGCCCTGAGACCTGCGGGAAAAGGGCGGCAAATAAATTAAATTAAAATTTTAAAATAAAATAAAATAAAAATAAGATGTGTTGGTATGGTAAGCCGTCCTGAAAACGGAACAGCCCGTGCCAACTTCCCTCCACCAAGCAACAAGCAAAGCCCCAAGGCACCTCACACTGAAGGACCAAGTGCCAGACGGACGCGACCACCCCTTAAGGGGCGTGGCCAATTCTAAAGAGGCGCGTCGAAATTCCAAAGTTCTAAAAAGGGGCGCGTCGCAAACTATGACGTCGGAGCCGCTTCTGCTTCCGGATTGGTTGGCTGTAAAAGGGGCAGGCGGGGCCAGAACGCTGCGGGGACGGAAGCGGCGTTTTTAAAAAAAGGACGGTTTGGGAGGGGAAGAAGAGGGCACGGAGTTCCGGCAGCCCGCTTCCGGTTGGGGAAGAATTTTGCTCGGGGCCGGCCGGAAGGAGAGGCGAGGCCGGAAGCGGTTGCCATGGCGACAGCCGCCGCCCGTCGCGGCGGGCGTCCCTGAGGGTAGGTACGCGGGTGGGGACGGAGGGAGTTGCTATGGCAACGGCGGAGGCAGATTTCCGGAATGCTGCGGGGAGAAGCGCAGGGGCGCAAAACGTCCCGCAAGGAGCCTCGGTCCCCGGAGGAAGTTCTGGTAACGCGATTTCCTTGGAGATGGGAAATGCTTAAAACGACTTTTCTTCTTTCTTTCTTTCTTTTTTAAGAAAAAGAAAATTTAAAGCCGTTTTGTATATAAAGATGCTGAAAGCATAGGCTTAGCCCTGGTAGACATAAGGACCCTGTTTTAGTTCCGTTCTGTGGAAAAGCTCCTAGTGTTGTTGAAGCCTCCGCAAAGGAAGCAGGAGTAAGCTAACGTGCCTTTTCCCTTCCCATTTTCGTCTTTTCGCTTTTGTGATCTAGCTAGTTGGCAATCCCTAGCAGCAGATCAGCCTTACCTCTGAAGGTTGCCTGTCATCACAAAAAACTCTTTGGAACTTTTTGCGGCAGAAGAAATCAACTCCTTGGTTTGCGTTTTGATATTTTACAGAAAGAGGAAGCCAAACAAACATGTAAAAAGCAGGATTCTGTATAAGAGGGTTTAAGCATAAGTGTGCACGAATTGAGGTTATTAAAAGCGATAGGGTTTTTTTGCTTAAGGTAGCAAAATTACCTTGTCTCTTAGGGAGAGCTGTCCACTTCTTGTGCTTGCTCCTATAAGCTCTTCCTTTAACAGCAGTTTGATCTTCAGTAAGGATCAGGTGATCTCGACCCCACATTGCTTAGTGATTGTAGTTAACTTGTTTATAAACAAGTTGTTTATAAACTTATACTTTGTTCATAAACAGTTGCATATAAATTGCTTAAATGAAAATCTGGAGAAGCTTCACCAGTTGATTTTTTGAAGATCAAAACTCTGTTAAAGAAACACAAGCTGGGCTAGGCTGGGGGTTTTTCCTCATCCCAGTTGGTGACCCCAGTTGAGGGATGAAGAATGCATGACCTTCTAGACTGTTTTAGGTACGTCCAATATAGGCACGACTGCACACTCACGCATTGCTCCAAAGATGGAAGTGACCTGAAAACGTCACAAAAGGGGCAGGGCAGGGCAGGAACGGGGTGTTTGCAGGCTTTTTCAATGGGGGGTTGCGTATATAAAACTGCCATGGTCTCTGGGTTTGGTGGTAGTTGAAAGTCCAACAACATATGGTGGGCCACAGGACTATCTCCCCTGCCCTATTTGAACATCTTAAGTTTGACTTGGTAGTGGTGTCTTAGTGCAACTAGAAGCTGATCTTGAGCCCAATCTTGTATTTCAACAGAGACTCCTTCCAGACGTCCCTGATTTGAAGTTACTCTGTTGCTGAGATGCTACCTTCCAAAAAGCAGCAGCAGCAGCATCCCTGGAGATCTACTGAGGAAAAAGTGAGGCCTCAGTCAGCAGCAGTGAACTGGAACGTGTTAGCTGAGAGGACGCAGCATGTGGTAGCTGTTGGAGCTTGGGTGGAGAGTGCCCAAGATGATGCAGTGCAAGAAGAGAACACAGTTTTTGTAAGTACTAAGAAAGGAAACCCCATATACAACAGTATTTTTGAACTTTCCAAAGCATCATTTTCTGAAAGACGATATTTTCTACTGAGCAGGATCAGTGGTCCATCTAGCCCAATGCTATCTTCTCCAGCTGGCAAACTCTAGAGCTGCTGCTGGTGGGGGTGTTGAATGAGGAACTACAGATTGTCAGGATTGTATTTGCTATCTGAGAATGTTAACAAAGCCTCATATTTGTAATATAATTTGTAATGTCTGTGTTTTTTTGTTTTTTTAAAAAACTTTTCTTGAAATCTAGGTTATATAATTATGTTACAAACCCAGCTTCTATTCTTGCATAACTTGTTGGTGGTATGCCATTGATCCTTTCTGAATTATTTTCTTAAACCAGAGGCAGGCATATTTGAGTCTTGGGTGATCTTGGTCTCCCTTTAAACACACACACACACACACACACACACACACACATCCTACTGTCTGCCAGTGGCCTGGTTTACATGTAAAGCTAAGCCAAACCATTGATTACTATGAACAAGCAAGAGCAAAAATTGTGACTTCTTCACTCTTTCCCTGGCCATGCTACCTGTAGCTAAGCCATAGATTGCCTTAGCATTAACATGAGATCTGGGCCAGTGTATTAAAAGTTCCAAACAAGACTGAATATTTGGGATCTAGTAACATTTAAGGAATACCTAATCTGTGCAAGGTAATGCTAAGACTGTATTTTTTGTTAAAACCATAAGAAGTGGATTGAAGTTGAATCCTGACAAGACAGAAGTACTGTTTTTGGGGGACAGGGGGCGGGCTGGTGTGGAGGACTGCCTGGCCCTGAATAGGGTAACTGTGCCCCTGAAGGACCAGGTGCGCTGCCTGGGAGTCATTTTGGACTCACAGCTGTCCATGGAGGCGCAGGTCAATTCTGTATCCAGGGCAGCTGTCTACCAACTCCACCTGGTACGCAGGCTGAGACCCTACCTGCCCGCGGACTGTCTCGCCAGAGTGGTGCATGCTCTAGTTATCTCCCGCTTGGACTACTGCAATGCGCTCTACGTGGGGCTACCTTTGAAGGTGACTCGGAAACTACAACTAATCCAGAATGTGGCAGCTAGACTGGTGACTGGGGGCGGCCACCGAGACCACATAACACCAGTCTTGAAAGACCTACATTGGCTCCCAGTACGTTTCCAAGCACAATTCAAAGTGCTGGTGTTGACCTTTAAAGCCCTAAACGGCCTCGGCCCAGTATACCTGAAGGAGCGTCTCCACCCCCATCGTTCTGCCCGGACACTGAGGTCCAGCGCCGAGGGCCTTCTGGCGGTTCCGTCATTGCGAGAAGCCAAGTTACAGGGAACCAGGCAGAGGGCCTTCTCGGTAGTGGCGCCCTCCCTGTGGAACGCCCTCCCATCAGATGTCAAAACAATAAACAACTACCTGACATTCAGAAGACATCTTAAGGCAGCCCTGTTCAGGGAAGTTTTTAATGTATGATATTTTAGAGTTTTTTGGTTTCTATGGAAGCCGCCCAGAGTGGCTGAGGAAACCCAGCCAGATGGGCGGGGTACAAATAATAAATTATTATTATTATTATTATTAGTGCATTGTGTGAACAGACCAATTTCTATCTAGTTCAGCATTATTTGCAAGAATCCCACCAACTAGATGCTCTATGCAAAATTGGCTAGTAGTTCACGGATGAACTTTAGTTTACCTTCCACCCACTCTTGGTTTCAACAATCTTCAATCTTCTTTAGACTGCAGCAGCTCAAATTGAAGAAGCATACAAAGAACAAAGAAAAGAGAAAGAGAGGCTTCTGAAACGCTTTCAAGAGGAGGTGAAGCACAGGGTGAACCAGCACATCAAGATGAGGAGAAAACACCAGCTTCAGAAGTCCTATGAAGCAGTAAGACAGTGTCTCCTTATATCTGTTTCTTTTGTTAATTACACACGTAGGCTCTTTTCTTGCAAGTAACATTGTTTTATAAGTAGAAGCTCATGTGCAATGGAAAAGAGTATTAATTTGGTTTTAGGATTTGTGCTGATAACTTGCATCATGATGTTCCAAGCTGTGGCATTCCATTAATCTAGGACCCATAGCCCTTGACATCAGGAGAGTGCAACCTTTTTTCCTGTCAAGGACCACATTCCCTCAGGTGTCATCTATCGAGGACTGTATGGCATTGCTGATGAGAGGAGTCAGAGACAAAAGTGTTCTGGATTAAATAATCCAGAATAAAGACTACCCTGAATGGAATCATTCATAAATGAGCACAAGGAGGATTTTTATAAAAGTACAGCAAACTAATGCAGCTACTGGTCAGAAAAGCAAGTAGAATTAATTTATTTCTGGCTTCCAGACAATTTTTTCTCCAAGCCATGTAGTCAGTACAAAGTTAAATATAAATAACTTATTGAAAATAAATAAAATAAAGTGCTGTCCTTCCAAATTGTTCCCAAAGAACATAGGAAGAGGTGGAAAACATTTTTAAAGGTCAAGAAAAATAAGAAGCAAACAGGAAGGGATTTTTATGGCATGAAATAATGGGACAGCTTCAGGGGGTATTGGAGACCACATAAAAAGAGTTTGGGGGCACAGGTTGCCACTGTGCAGACCTGCTCAGCTTCAGCATTTTTTGGCCTCATTTGCCTTCCCTTCAGACCACACCTTGGAACATCTCTCAAGTATGCTCACTTCTGGTTTCCCATTTTACTTTATCACCAGATAGGAAAATAACAAGTTGATATCAGTCTTAGAATCACTAGAATCCACTGTAAATGAATAAGATAAAGAGGTATGACCTCTGAGGTCAGTTTTATCACTTCAAACCCTTTAAATGACTACCATTCCTCATAACAGCAGTGAGCTAGGATGTGTCTACCGTCGTCTTATTATTCTGTTCTTTACCTTTTTCTTCTGCAGGCTCTTAAAGAAAGCTCTGTTGTGATAGGATTTTCAGATTCTGCATTACAATTGACACCCAAGAAAAGCACGTGTCTGTACAGACATAACACCGATTCTGCTATCTGTAGTACTGGTAATAAAATCAACTCTATGCAGAGGCCTGATTACGAGGGGGACTTGGAAGAAAAGGTCCTAAATGTTCAGTTTTCAGAGCATGCTAAAACTGTGAGTGTTTTCTCGCCATATCAACCATTTGCTCTGTTGAGTTTTGTGGGCATTTTAACCTTAAGTCTCATTGGTATATGACGCCTCAGATCTTAAGTATCCGATAAATTGTCAGCAAATGTATTTTACTGATGCAAAACTGATATATACACAACTTTTATTTGTACCTGATTTATTTATTTATTTATTTATTTATTATTTATACAATGCCCCTCTGGCTGGATTTCCCCAGCCACTCTGGGCGGCTTACAACATATCTAAAAACATAATAAAAACAACAGTCCTTTAAAATACCATGTTTGTTCCGATTTTTGCCCAGAATGTGAGATATATGCAGAAATACTTGTATTGCTCAGGGAAGACAGTTCATACTTGCTACAGACACATGAAGTACGGGATCTTGGCTTTTGTGGCTACAGGCTACATGATTGAAAACATTCAAAATGAAATGAAAGTTCTGGTAGAGATAACCCTAAGCAGAGACTCACATGAGTATGTACTGTGCTACTTACTCACCCACTGATGAGCACATTTACATGAGTCAATACATATTGTGTAGCACTGATAATGCACCATGAGAAGAAAGCCTTATCAGTGCTTTCATAGCATGTTATTGGGGTTCTGCAGTTCATTGCAAGACAAAGATCCATTAGGGAGTAGAACATGGGGTCCTTGATTGCGGACTTTAATACTTGTAGCATGCTGCTCAGAGAGGCCTGCTTGAGTCTGTTCCAGAATTATTTTAATGCTTTGTCCCCCAGACACCATTTTTTACACAGACCTTCCAAGCTGTACAACAAGCTCAAATCTGCAAGTACATCTTTTCTATCTAGCTCTTCTTGACTTAACAAAACAAAATACTAAATCTTCATTAGGCTGTTGAAAAAACAAAAAGCATTTCCAAAAATCAATACTTTCTATTATTAGGCCATCTGTTTTTGAATACGATAATACCAGCCTGCTTATAATTCTCGATTATGTGAATAATAATTATTTATTTATTTATTTATTATTTATACCGCGCCCATCTGGGCGGCTTCCAACCAAATATTAAAAACAATACAGCATCAGACATTAAAAACTTCCCTAAACAGGGCTGCCTTCAGTTGTCTTTTAAAAGTAAAATAGTTGCTTATTGCCTTGACATCTGATGGGAGGGAGTTCCACAGGGCAGGTGCCACTACCAAGAAGGCCCTCTGCCTGGTTCCCTGTAACCTCACTTCTTGCAATGAGGGAACCGCCACAAGGCCTCGGCGCTGGACCTCAGTGTTTGGGCTGGACGATGGGGGTGGAGACACTCCTTCAGGTATACAGGACCGAGGCCGTTTAGGGCTTTAAAGGTCAGCACCAACACTTTGAATTGTGCTCAGAAGTGTACTGGGAGCCAATGAAGATCTTTCAGAAACGGTGTAATATGGTCTCGACGGCCACTCCCAGTCACCAGTCTAGCTGCCGCATTCTGAATTAATTGCAGTTTCCGAGTCACCTTCAAAGGTAGCCCCACGTAGAGCGCATTGCAGTTGTCCAAGCGGGAAATAACTAGAGCATGCACCACTCTGGCAAGAAAGTCTGTGGGCAGGAAGGGTCTCAGCCTGCGTACCAGATGGAGCTGGTAGACAGCTGCCCTGGCCACAGAACTAACCTGCGCCTATTTTCTGTTTCATAGGTAAGAAAAACTGTGCAACAGGTCCGTCGCAGGCTGGCTTCCCGGAAATCTGTGTCAGAAAGTGATTCTGCTCCAGAACTTCCAGGAGGTGCTTGGGAGAACCGCCTGACCATACAGGTGACAACTAGAGGAAATACTCTCTATTTTGGTACATTTTGCAATATTGTCTTTACCTACTTGGCTATCTGTGAAGCATGATTGAGGCTCCAGTCCTTTATACAATTACCTGGGAGTAATTGTAAATAGACAAGTATAGGTAATCTCTGAGTTTCAACTTTTATTTTGAGTTCCTGCTCTATGCTTCTGGGTTTTCTGCCATGCTAATCTTCTCCAGTGCCCTCAGACATACCAACAGAGGAAGCTGATTTTGTGATAAATGAAGAATGAGTTGGATTCTACCACTTCTGAATCTTTAGCAGAACTATGCATTAAGATCATAGGGCCAGTATTTCTAAAGCCTTATGTAGCTTTCCTAACACTAATAAACTTTCTGTTTAAAAACATAATTGTTCATAATCTCAAAGTAATACCAGCCCAGAGGACAAGGAGTGCAGGTTTTCATTCAGACCAAGAGATGTATTTAAAGTGTGCTATTGGGTGACTTTAGCTAGGTGAGTTCACACAGTCCACTTAATGTGATACCAAATGTGTGTTTAGCCTTATCTTCTATTAGGTAATTGCCTGAAGTGATGAGAACATGATCTTATGATAGCTTATCTAGCTGTTTACAACATCAAGCAATCAGGTGAAAGTTGTAGCTCTTATGTGGGCAACTTGCCCTGTTAAGAGTGATGTTTTGCCATTTTGTGAAAATGCGTGGCAGTGGCATGACCCAGCTTAGGCAATGCCAAATCCCTATGAATCAGAAGGGAAATTCATCTGTGATTTAAGGCACAGCATGGGCGAAAAAGGTGAACTAAACCCTTCCTCCAAACATATTTTTTACCAGCAAGCAGGTTTTTTAATGGCAGATTTCTCCTGTAGCATTATTTCCCCTTCAGAGTTCAGCTGGGGTGGGGGGACTTTGTTCTCTTAAGACTGTTTTGCGGGGGGGGGGGGGTTGGAGGTGGGGCAAATGATTTACATGTCCCTGACATATGGATCTGCCAATATCCCGGTCCAGTTCACATACCACATTAAACAAAACAAGCCAGTCTGGCTTGTTGGGTCATCTGAATTGGAATTAGTGGTTGATTTCCTTGGACTCTGGCTTGCTTCGTCTGTGGCACAGCAGGAGCAGGGGAGAGTACTGTAGGAACGTTTTGAGCTTGCTGCTTGCTCACTACACTATGGTTTAATGTGACATGTGAACCAAGCTGCTGTGTCTCAAGACTGGGGCAGGATTTCTGAAGAGTAAACCATCTCCCCTGTTTGGTTTGTGTATTTATTTTGAATAACTTTAACTTTTAAATCCTTTATTAGGCATAGCACACCACACAGTTACAAACAAACATCATATACAGACTGTATAAAATACGGGCTCAGCGAACACAATTTATCCCAGTCCTATTCTTAACTCCAAGAAATAAATCGATGTACATAGATAATATAATACAACAACACAGCAACATCACCTACCATTAAAAACCACTAAGTCTCTTTATCATGGCCCATTCTTTCTTCATGGACAGCACTTAAAAATTCCGCCACTATTATAGTGGTTTGATCATCGCTGTCCGCCAGCAGGTCCTGAACAGTTGGTTGAGTAAAAATCTGTCTATTAACTTTTAGGGCCTCAAATAATTGTTTTCTGGCATAACTACCAAAATCACAGGAAAAGAATATATGCTCTAGAGTATCGGGTTCCTGTTTTCTGCATTTGCAGAGACGCTCTGATTCTGGGATAGCTAAGTATCTTCCTCTCACTACCGAGGGAAACATGTTGAATCTGGCCAACATAAACAGCCTACACGATTCATGTTTCTTCAGATTTGTCATGTATCCCTTTTGGAAATCTCTACACAAAGGGAGATTTAAGTGGATAGGAGAGCAAGTGCTGTGCTTTGCAGCCTCAAGCATGGCGAGAACACTTTTTTCTGTAAGAGTCTTCCTGATAATTTCCCATATGTCTTTGGGATCAGAGGTTTCAAAATCAATTAGAGTGAGCCCTATCGAATCCAGTTTTCTCCTACAAATCAATGATAGATTGTAGATTGCACTATCACTTAAAAGATTGTAAAGTAGAGAATTAGGGGATAGGGCTCTATAATGGAGGAAGATCCAATATTTCAAGGTCCTCAACCATGCTCTTACTGATAAAGGCAATATTCCCAGCTCACAACATATTGTTTCATATTTTATTTTGAATATTACATGTACCAATTTTCAAATAAAAACTCTCTTAAGTGTCTAATGCGGTGCAAAATGACGTACACGTTTCAGTAAAGCTATTCAGTCTCGGCAGGCTCATGTAACAGGCTTTTGAAATAAGGGCTTCAACTTTGTTTAGAAGCCAGCATCTCCCAAGACAATTCCAGGCAATGCAGAAGAGGGTGACAGAGGCGAGTTTCTTCTTGTGGGACACCACGACCTTCCAGCTGAACTTCAAGGGCAGGAACAAGGACAGCGGAACAAAGACTCATACTATACAGTGCAGTTTCAGAAAGTAAGATTTCTCCAATACCGGTCTTGCAGCTGATGTTAGCTGTACTTGTTCTGTGTTCTTGCTTTAGGAGAATATCGCCCTTGCTGTTCTCCTATTTCCTTGTGTGAGAGGCTGTGACATCGAAGGAGAGGAAGACAATTGAACTCATTCTCATGGCATGCATGAGACTTCCTATGTCTTCCTAGCTGCTTGCTTTCCTATAGTTTGCTAAACTAATTTTGAACCGCTCTTTATCACAGGGATGAGGAACCTGTGGCCATCCTGGTGTAGCTTGATTCCAGCTCCCATCAGCCCCCAGCCAGCATGGCTCATAGAAAGGGATGCTGGGGGTTGGAGTCCAACATCTGGAGGACACAAGTTTCTCACCCCTGCTTTATAGGACAGTGTAACAATAAAAACCCTGGGATACTGGGTTGGGTATATACTGTGGGATGTATTTACTAGAGCAGTCAACTACAACATTTTCTTGCTGCCTAGAATGGACACACAGGGAAATGTGGCTCCAGACAGGACATCCTGTCATACCTGCTCTGGAGCTTCTTCCCCCTGTGTGTGACCAGGTAGATAGGCGTGACCCTAGCTGACCAGATTAAAGGGTTGGCCATGCAACCATCTCTCTTTTGGACTCTTATTCTCTTACTCTTGGACTCTCAGCCAGCGCATGGCTCAACCTTCACATAGGATGGAGCCCACAAGCCAAAAGTTTGAGATGTAGCTCAGACTTCTTTTCACTGTAACCACAAGAAAAATCCTGTCTTCAGATTACTACTGTGAACTACTGGTAAATGTAAGAAAAACTTTATTCTTATTTTTAAATAAGACTGTGTTGTAGTATTATTATTTTAAGAGGGAAATAAAGGGGAAACTTACCAGGAACAATCCAGACTGGACAAGCCAGACTGAATTGCTTAATTAGGATTCTAACGAATCATCAACTTGCTTCCAATAAGTTGCAAAGGGAATGTGCTCTGCTGCTTACTCACTAGCATGAGTGAGGAGGGATAATATCAAAATATATTATCCCTCCCACCTTCCTTAACATTCCCACATATACTTGATACATTGCAATGGTTCTTTAAACATTTACAGTCTACTAAACTATGTTTATTATATTAATGCCCCATTCTTTTATGGGTTGCTCATAAAATGGACCAATAAGATTCATGCCTTCTTCCCGACTACTTACTGGACTAAAAAAAACCCCTAAAATACTGCACCAGAAATTTAGAATGTTACATCAAACATGGGATATGTTTTTTTCCAAAGCTGAACAGTTTAAAGTCCCATTGACATCCATGAGAAAATTAAGCAGATGCATGAACTTTTCCAGTGAACACCAGTGAAACAAAAAACTGCTTTGCTGTAGCTGGATCGTGTCCATTGCTGGGTTTTATATCAATATCTATCTATATAAATACAAAGTCTAAAAGAGGAGAAGGGCTATATGTTAAAACTTCAGAGGAAGCCTTTTATGTATTTTAATATTTTGTTGGTATAAACAAATTATTATTATTATTATTTAATGTATGTGTGTCAAAAGGTGAGAAGTTAGCTACTTGCTCTGATTTCCTTGTAGGTTAATAATGAGATACTGAAAAGTACCTATCCCACAGCTGACAATGAACCTCGAGATGCCAGGATACTCTGGTCTGGAACAGAGAAAGAAGAATCAAAGAAGCAGGTATACAGTCTTGTATTAATTTACCTTGCAAATGAATTTTCATGAGGAAACAATGCAAGGCTGTGGTGACGGCAGTTGTGATCCTCTGCCTCTCTGCTTACGTTTTAAGGGATGTGGGATATTTTAATGCTGAGAGTCAATTGTGTGCTTGTGCACTTGCACACACACATGCCATCATTATAAAAATATGACTGCCACTGGTTATAGCTGGGCAGAGAAATCCAGTCCCCCAATTTACTGTACTTGGGAGGAGATGGAGGTATCCCTTTGCTTGCCTTCTTCAGCAGGGCAGTTCTATTGATGACAGGGGAGAATCCCATTGCCCCCGCCCCAAAGGCAGAAGCTTCTTGCTGCGGTAGCAAACGGAAACCACTGAAATAGGGTGTTTTGCGGGAGGTGAGGGAGCTGATCTGGGCCAACACACGTTCTGTTGGATTCAGAAATGTTCCAGCTGCTCTCGGGTGATGGTAGACAGCCCAATCTGTGCCTCTTTGCTGTACCAGCCTGGGAGCTGACTTAGCAAAGAGACATTCCCCCCCCTTCATTTCCTCTCCCTCCCCCAGCCTTCCTATCGGTGGGCTTTGGGTGGTGATGTGGCTATGCTGCTTCAATAAGCCCTGCTGCCACATCCCAAATTACTGGGACTTAGGCCTAGGATGGTGCTAAAGAGGTGTAAGTAGGGAGAAAGGGAGGGGCAAGAACAGTTCACACTCCTGTTATTTTCTAGCAGCTGGTTAGCAGACAAATGGTAAAATTTCCTAGCTGGATTCACTATAATAAATCTCTAGTGCTGCCAGAATTCAAACGTGGAGTTGCTTAAGTGCTGCCTCCTGCATTTAACGTACCCAAACCTTTTAAAAGGCAGTTTTGGTACTACCTCTTTTATAAAACATCTCCAGAGCAGGCAATATAAATAAATAGAGATGCATTTCTGGTTTGGGACTTCAAGTGAGATATGAGCGACTGACAGAGTGTGTGTTCTTTAAAACCCAAGGGTAAAACTGAGAATAAACCAGGCATTAGAATGTTACACTTTCATAAATGGGGAGTCACAGCAAAATACGGGGTTGTGGTTTAAATGCTGGCCAGCAGAGGGAAACCTGGTTCAGGAGGTCTTTGTGTCTTGTAACTGAACCACTTCAATAAATTGTAATACCTTGACTGTAGTTGCAGAATGCTGCCACTTTATTGAGCTCTGTAAATACACTTGTGGGGACAAGGACCAAAAAATTCTTATTAAACAATAAGAGTATGTAGTATGATAGATCTTGTACAGGAAGAGCCCTGGCAGCTGCTTCTATAGATTGGCATTTTGCACTTTTAAGCTCCTGGGGTATTCGCAACATGTACTCCTAAATTCTAGATTATTTAATCCAGAAAAAGTAAATCCCTACTTTCTGGAATCTCGGTTTTGTTTGTTAAAGTAATGATAAAGTACCCGGTGCTTCCTTGTCACTGCAAAAATGAACGAACAAACACAGTTCCCGCTAGCAGATGGGCAATCTAGTAGATGTGACTCGAAAGCACAAAGAGAAAGGGAGGACACTGTGAAAATAAGTGCATTAAAAAGAATGAATTCTTCACTGATGTAAACGTTCTGTGAGTAGACGGAATAGTTACTGCTGGAGAGAATTCAGGCAGAGAGGGAGCTAAATGTCAGTGAGACCAAGCCTCTCTCTTGGTTGCAGCCAGGTGGAATGGTTGCTAATAGTTCTCTGTATAGCAGCTGGAGCATGCTAAGTGTGCCGTGTCCACTACTGCTCTGAAATGCGTCTTTTTTCTGTAGCGCCAAGGCCAGTACCTGAGATACAGGCGCCTCTTCATGGATATTGAAAGAGAACAAGTAAAGGAGCAGCAAAGGCAGAAGGAGTGGCAGAGAAAAATGGAGAAGTACGTGTTCCACACATGACCATCTTTTTGCTCTCAGTTTATTAGGGCCATATCATGGCAGCCGTGAAGTCACTGGAAACCATAAACCTATTTTTGCTGTTAAGATAAAAAGGGTGAAAGTGCCAAAAGATAAAATAATTTTTATAATTAATGAGAGCCTCTTCGAATGCATCCAGGTGGATTCCTTCAGTCTCCTCATAGCATAGAGATCACGCAAGGAAAATGCACCTTGAGGCAGCTGTGTTTTCGATAACACGTGAAGAATCTTGTATTTCCATGCCAGATTTATGTTTATTTGTTTCAGTTTGCTAACTGGGTGGGGAGGAGTTAGTTATCTTGTTTATAATTATTTCGGATAAGGTTGGCCTGCCGTTACTCCCATGGCTTTTATAGATGAAAATTTTACTATGATGCAGTAAAGTTCGTTCAAATATTGAATATTAAGGAAATTGCTGCAGTGGGGAGAGACGTGTCAAATGAGATATTTTCCTTCAGCAGCATGGCTTTGTTAAGTAAATATTTTTACTTTCTTGTGCCTATCCTCTCTATTTGAATAGCTTTGATTTAGCGAGTTGGCAGCGGAGGGACCCTGCTCATTCAGACAAAGGTCCATATAGTTCAGCCTGCTGTTTTCAGTTGCCATCCAGGTGTCTCTGGGAAGTCCACAAGCAGGGCATTAGGCCTCATCCACTTCTCTCCAGCATACTGCTTCTGAATGTGGAAGTTCCATTTAGCACTTATGGATCATAACTGCTTTGATGGAGCTTTTAAAGCCGTTTATAATTTAAAGTGAATAAAGAAGTAGCAGCTCCTATACAGAACACCCTCCTATGGGAGATTACATTGGCTCCCTGTTTGCAAGTACAGTGGTACCTCGGGTTAAGTACTTAATTCGTTCTAGAGGTCCGTTCTTAACCTGAAACTGTTCTTAACCTGAAGCACCACTTTAGCTAATGGGGCTTCCTGCTGCTGCTGCGCCGCCGGAGCACAATTTCTGTTCTCATCCTGAAGCAAAGTTCTTAACCTGAAGCAATATTTCTGGGTTAGCGGAGTCTGTAACCTGAAGCGTATGTAACCTGAAGTGTATGTAACCTGAGGTACCACTGTAATCCAGCTTGCTTGAAAATGTTTGTTTTTCAGTCACCTTTTGGGGTTTTTTGGCATAGGTTTTTTGAGGGTTATTTGTTACTGGTGATTTATTGAAGATATGCATAATATAAATGTTATTTATGAATTAAACAAATAATTAGTTCAAAAATCGACTTGTGCAGGTTTATTAATATTACTTGCTTATTGCTCTTTCTCGGGATTCAAAAACATTACAGCCAACCTTAAACCAGTCCTGTAAGGTTAGACCAGAATTTCCCAAACTTAGGTCTCTAGCTGTTTTTGGACTACAACTCACATGATCCATAGCAGGCAGGATCAGTGGCCAGGGATGATGGGAATTGTAGTCTAAAAACATCTGGAGGGCCGAGTTTGGGGGTACCTGTTCTAATTCTTATGCCTGCGCTATATAGTGTGTGATCTTGTGAAAGAATAAATAGAATTACACTTCTTGCCCATAGAATAAAGAAGGAAAAGGAGCTTCGACGCCATGCAGAGGAACAGAGGATGCAGGAGAGACAGAGAGTACAAGAGAGGCACTATGACAATGAACCGAGGATACAGGAGACATACCAGGCAGGGGAACTGAAGATACAAGAGGGGGCCTCCCAAGGAGATGTTAATGCCAAAGGGAAAGCTTATGAAAAACTGGAACATCTTAAACTAGGGGATATGCTGGAGAAGAAAAAGGTAGCAGAAAGGCAACAGAGAAATAAAGAATATTCAAGGTGAGCTGAAATATTCAAGGGGGGCTTTGTTTCTCTTCCTAAAACCCCATATGCAGCAACTGAGAGCACATTCTACAGACCAAATGCCCATCTAGTTCTGCATCTCTTTCCCCACAATGGCAAACCAGTACACTGTGCTGACAAGAACCCTTCCCTCCCTTGTTTGTCCCCAGCAGCTATATTCAGAGGGAGGACATATTGACAAGGACCACCACCAGCAAAGATAGCTGAACTCCAGTAGACCCCAGGTGTTCCTGAGAGATAGGTACTATGTGGTCAGTCACACTGCAACATCAGCCAACATCCCCGCAAGTCATCAGAGCAATTGCAGCAGCTTTTGGCAGCCAGCAAAGCCACTGCAATGGCTGCGGCCAATCGCAGCCAACCACCAAAGTTAGTGGTGGTTACAGGGCTATGTGGTCATGTGAGTCAATGCAGTACTCAAGGACTGCAATGAACCCAGGTGCCTGCTCCCCATATTCATCTGGGCAACCTAATTGCAAGGTCTAATAATTGGTCTGTCCATAAGGGATCCGTATGCCATCAGTCACCAACACACATACAAAACACCCATTAGGGAGGTTAGGCTGCCCTCATCCCTGAATACCCTTAGGCAGGCAGTGAAATCATTTTTATTACAGTTCTTCATTAAAGATTGAGTGTTTTGACTCGGCTCTTTTTCTTTAATGCCTCAATCCTGTTATTGTTTAAACTGGCTTTGCTTTGTGTTGGTAAACCACTTTGGGGGCCCTTTTCAGGGCCAAAAGTTAGTATCCATCTGTTTTTAATAGACGAAAGTAAGGGTGTTTTTGTGTGTGTTTTGTTTCAGATATGCAGAAGCATTACGAGCCCAGATGCGAGAGAAGATCAAAATGTATAATATCAGCTTGCCTCTGCTGTGCTTCTGTGGGACAGATTTCTGGGACTCTCATCCTGATAGCTGCGCCAACAATTGTGTGTTCTACAAAAATCACAAAGGTACAAGGTTTTCTGACATTCTTTATCACTGGCATCTGTTGCTCCTCCCGGCAGCTGTTTAGCATTCCTCATGTGGAGGAGGATACCAGCGTATTTTGAAACACCTAGTGCCTAGCAGAGTAGGTTGCAGTCTCATGAAAGACAGAAATGGCGGTGGATTTTTAATCAGACACCAGCTGGAACTTGTTCTGAAGGACTCTGCTTAAGCATCCATCCCATGGCATTTTCTTTTCAACTATCCTTTTCTCTTTGTAGTTTCCGTATAGGGAATACTTTGGGGTATTCCATTAGCCCTGCTCAAGCTACAGAACATCTTAGTTCTGTGAGTAGAAGGGCTTTAAGACTAGGCTGCAGCAGCTGGTAAGCAACTAATGTTGCCATTCACATTGTTTTTACTAGTAAGCCTGTGGTTGGACATATACAGTGGTACCTCGGTTTTCAAACATCTCCATTTACAAACGTTTTGGTTTTTGAACGCCGTAAACCCGGAAGTAAATGCTCCGGTTTTCAAACACTTTTTGGAAGTCGAACATGCCACGCGGCTTCCATATTGAGTTTTCCGTAAATAAATGCTTTGGTTTTCGAATGTTTTGGAGCTCAAACGGTCTTCCAGAACGGATTACGTTCGAAAACCGAGGTACCATTGTACTGGATCCACAAATATGCATTCTAAGCCAAGACTCTTCTACCAAGGTTGCAATGTAGCAGCGCTTGCCTATGCCTATTAGCTTGTTCTAAAACTTTAAACTATTTCCCCAAGCTGTTGTCTTCCTAGCAACTGCATCTCTGAGCAGTCATGCTAAAAACTTGCCTGCTGCTCAGTGGCGCTGTGGCAGTTCCCATGGATCCTGTGAATGTTCTTCACGTTGGGAGACACATCTTGGTCAAAAGCAAAGGGTTGTCTTCTTTGCTCAATTCCTGATTCAGCAAGTAGCTGTAGAACAATACCAATGCTGAGTTAACTGTATCCAAGTTAACAACATTTACATAAGAGCAGCCCTGGAGAATTAGAGCAAAGGTCCCTTTAGCATCCTGTTCTTCGCAGTGCCTAACAGCTGCATCTGTTTAACCACAAGCAGGATATGAAGGCCACAACACTTCTCCATAGTTGCCTGCTAGCAATGCCAATCTAGTGGCATTTAGTATAGCCATTTTTTCCAGACCTACCCTCCATGAACTTACCTAAAGCCCTCAATAAATCATTGGTCACATCTTGTGGCAATGAACTCCTCAAATCATGGATTGCATGAAAAATATTTCTGTAGGTACTGAATCCTTGTCCTATATTGTGGGATAGGGTATAGAAGTCATCTACCATCACACTACGTATAATTTTAGAAACCTCTTCTCGTGCTTTCTCCATCACCTCCTCCCCACCTCTTCTTTCTTTTTCCCAAGCTTATACCAAAAGCTAATTTTGTTCCATTATTTTTTCAGCTTATGCTCAGGCTCTGCAATCTGTCATCTCATCTTGCAATGTTATTGATGGGGGTTCAAACACAAGACTTGCTGCTCATACATTTGCTACCGTCCATGCTCGTGCTAAAAATTCCTGAAAGAGGACTTCGGAATTGGTTCTACCCAACGCCCTGACAGTTCAGTCAAGTTGTCTGCAAGTAGGTGATTGGCATGCAAGTCTCGCCGCCTCCTGGAGTGTGCCCCAGGTCCTAATAAAAATAAATTGGAAAGGAGTCCTGTCCCAAGGTACTTCCTTTCCGTTCTCATGCCAATACTGTGTGTTTATCTCGTCCTACAAGTTACTAATATGTCAAACACTAAAACTTCATGCATGGAACCTATGATGCGTAGAAAGAGGACTTGGCTCAGACAAACCCAGACCTGCTTACAGGCATATGCAAGAGTAACTTATTGCACTCCATGGTTCAAGCTTTGCTTTTGATGCTGAGTGAGAGGCTCTGAGGAGCAGCTGTATCTAATTTTTGTCCATTTTACAAGGCTTGCCTCTTTTTTCTTGCTTTTTTTTTTAAAAAAAGAAAAACTCCAGGCTTTCAGAATGCATATTGTGAAACTGCAACATGCAGAAAGTTTCTAAGAGAGGGTGATCGTTCCAAAAGGATAGTTGTTGCTGATAGCGATGATGCTTAGCAATGTTTAGATCTGATGAATAAAGAATTTCTGCAAATGTGAATTTTGTGAAAGTATGTGATTCAACGTGTTTCTGAAGGTGCTGTTATACCAGAATTTCTATTTGAGTCCATGATTTAGAAACTAAGAGGGCAGGCAAGAGTCTTGAAATGGTACAACTTCCTTTCCCTTTTTGATAAGTTGAATCCCTATTTCCGACAGGAACACTTCTGGACACATTCTGCTTCTCAAACTGTTCTACGAAGTGAAACTTTGAAGTCAAGCCTTTAATTGTTGTTTGCAAAAAAAATAAAAAATTGTTATGAGATGCCAGGTTGTTTTAATTCATTACCTTCCCTGCTGTAAATATTAGTATTTGTAACAAGGAGCATTCTTTACCTTACAGGATGATAGTACTCTGGTGTTGACCCATTCCAATAAAAATATTTCCATTTTTTCCCCTTGGTGTCTACTGTTGACTGTCCCTTTTGGTCCCTTCTCTGCTGTGACACAACCACATATGCAGTGATATGTGAGGAGTACAGTGTGATTGACCTCTGCATGCAGAGTTGTTTTTTTGGGGGGGGGATTGTCATTTTTCCACAATATGTGAATGACTAATAATAGGGGTTTTTTTTTCAGGTGCCATACAACTTGCTATTCTACTCCCAGAATTATAGTGTTTGTGTTTGGTGCCCCCTTGCAGAATGTCCAGTTTGGATTCCAGACTTGTTCTATTCAGTGTGGTAGTTCAATGGCTCCCATAACTACTCTGGACACTGACAAACTGGAACGTGTCCAGAGGACGGCAACCAAAATGGTCAAAGGCCTGGAAACGATGCCTTATGAGGAACGGCTAAGGGAGCTGGGCATGTTTAGCCTGGAGAAGAGGAGGTTAAGGGGTGATATGATAGCCATGCTCAAATATATAAAAGGATGTCACATAGAGGAGGGAGAAAGGTTGTTTTCTGCTGCTCCAGAGAAGCGGACACGGAGCAATGGATCCAAACTACAAGAAAGAAGATTCCACCTAAACATTAGGAAGAACTTCCTGACAGTAAGAGCTGTTCGACAGTGAAATTTTCTGCCAAGGAGTGTGGTGGAGTCTCCTTCTTTGGAGGTCTTTAAGCAGAGGCTTGACAACCATATGTCAGGAGTGCTCTGATGGTGTTTCCTGCTTGGCAGGGGGTTGGACTCGATGGCCCTTGTGGTCTCTTCCAACTCTATGATTCTATGATTCTCTGATCTGCAATAGGTGTGTGACGATTGTCTTCAGGGGCAAAAAAACTTCTTTGTCGTCAGCTGGTTGCAGAAAGACAGCCATTAGATTTGGCCATGAATTATGCTTTACAGAAGTAATGTATTTTAGAAAGATGGGTTTGTTTGTTTGTTTATATTGTCACCTGTATTTTATATTGTTGTACTTTATATTGTCATCTTGATCACAAAATCAAACTGCAATGCCACTTTTCTAAACTTAAACTGCCCTAGATGTGGGTGAAGCCTAGACATGCAAGTACAGTGGTGCCTCGCAAGACGAAATTAATTCGTTCCGCGAGTTTTGTCGTCTTGCGATTTTTTTCGTCTTGCGAAGCACGGTGTCGGGAAAGTTTTGGAAAAGCTTCAAAAATCACCAAAGACTTTAAAAACCTCACAAAAGGCTACCACACCGCGTTCTATGAGTTGCTCCTCGAAGTCAAGTCGCAACTGTATTAACGGTGTTAAGAAAAAGGAAACAAACTTGCAAGACGTTTCCGTCTTGCGAAGCAAGCCCATAGGGAAAATCGTCTTGCGAAGCAGCTCAAAAAATGAAAAACCCTTTCGTCTAGCGAGTTTTTCGTCCTGCGAGGCATTCGTCTTGCGGGGCACCACTGTAATAGCAGTAAATCTGTTTGGTTCAAACAATTATACTTCAGCTAAAAAAAAAAAATAGCAGTAACATAAATGTCACAGCAGCATTCTATTGCATCGTTACTTAGCCCTTTCCTTTTGCTTACTATGATCTGAATTATCTTGGATTTTTTTAAAAAAAGAAAGAAAATGGGTGAGAGATGGAGCCTTCCATTTACTACATCTTTTTAATATTTTCATCAGTACAGTCATACCTCGGTTTACAGACGCTTCAGGTTGCGTTTTTTCAGGTTACGGACTGCTGAAACCCGGAAGTATCGGAACGGGTTACATCTGGTTTTCGGCAGTCGCGCATGCGCAGAAGCACCAAATTGCAACCCGCACATGCGCAGACGCGCTGCTACAGGTTGCGAACGTGCATCTCGCACAGATCAAGTTCTCGCTGATAGTTGCCATGGCTGATGTGTTGGGGTCAGAAATGAATATGAGGGTACAATCCTATGATTATGATTAAATGGTCGGAGCCTGGTCTTCTGGGCCCACTTCGTCAACAGAGTGGGGGAAAGGAGATTTTGTAGTCCTGCAGATATTGAGATGCATCAGCCCCAGACAGCATCACCAAACTGCCGGGGATCTGGGCAATATACTTCAACAGCATTTGGAACACCACAGATTCCCCGTTCCTGTTTTACCTATGGCACCTCAGGATCTAGCTGAATCCAAAGTCTGGATTCAGATGTGGCCATCCTTAACCTTAGCCCATGGTAAAATGCTTAGATTCTGGTTGAGTATTTATTGATAGCTACGCTAAAGCGATAAGTGTAGGAAAATCAAAGTTACCTTGAGGACACGGGGCCCATGTCGGTTAAACCAGGTGAAGACTATCGGATAGATGTACTAAAAAGACTACATGGCAACAGACGGCGCATAGGATGTGCCTGCATAGTGTAATGAGCCATCTAAAAACCTGCACTGCCAGCAAATATGGCTTCATAAATGTTTAGGATTGAGGTATATGGAAAGTTCATGCTACAGGGTGTGGGATTTATTGCCCGAGCGTGGTTTTTCTGAGAAATTAGCCTCTCCCCTGTCTCAACTTACCTGAGATAACCTTGCTGGGTGGGGCCTGTGTTTTTCTCCATCTGTGTAGATGGTCGCTTGATTTGCACGTAGTTGACACTAGTAAAAGTTAGACCTTAAACTGCTGGTGAGAATTCGCCAGTTATGCAGCAAATCCAACAAGAAGGCCCATTTCTTCTGCAGTTGTTTTCTTTTTGGTGGAGAGGCGATTGTTTTGAACCCTACAGCTCTCGTTGGATCATCCTCTGTATCTACTGCAACCAGCCACAATAAAAGTGGTTCAGAGAAATGGCGAAAAGTGCTGGTGGGACCAATTTAGGTTTACCTTTTTGGAGTGTTTGGATGGTGGCAGCTGCGACTAGCAGGGCATTTGCACAGCTTATCCTAGTGATTTGACTTGCGTTGATTCTTGAAGGACACAAATTTGACTATAATTGTACATAGCTCTAGTTGCATCTAGATTGGAGTTCTGTTGCTTACTTTACATGCGGCCACTGCCTGAAAAGTGTTCAGAAACTTCTGCACTGTGAGCTCTGACCAGAGACAGAGGGCAGGGGTTTGGCACATGTTGTTTATATCTGTTTCTGTAGCTTGCAGTCCATTTCCGGGCCCAACTTAAACTTAACCCCATTTTAAAGCTTTTCATCCAGTAGGAAAAGCTTGTCAAAACAATTCAGTGTAAGGCCAACTCAATTTCCCCTTCCAGGAGTGTCAACTTGAATAAAATATTGTGGGGCCCCAGGTAAGCCTCGCCCTGTATAATCAATCACATGATGCAGTGCACACACACCATTTGAACGGGAATGCCCATCAACTTTGTGGGGGGGCTGAAGCCCCCACAGCCCCTAAGAGTAGACTCCTATGTCCCCTTCCCCTCTGTTACATTAAAATGTGTTTTCAAGTTTGCAAGCTGGTATATATTTTTAAATATACAGTGGTACCTCGCAAGACGAATGCCTCGTAGAGGAGGAAAACAAAAATATGCTAAGACGAAATAGTGGATATATCGATTTTTGTGGTTCATGCTGTGGACACAGACATGTGATCTGACAGTGAGTTTGGCGTTGCCAATGCAAAAATCCTGAGGATCCATGTGGATCCATGCTTGTAACCACGGAGGTGGTTTGGAAGGGAACCATGGATCCTCTGCTCACGACTGCAGCTCCTCGCCATCCGAAAGCATTCGCTCCATAACACGCACAGACATTTCCCTTACTTTCTAGGAGGAAAAAGTGAGTGTTATGGTGCGAATTAATTTCGTCTTGCGAGGCACCACTGTACTGTATATATATTTGCAAGAAACAGACAAAAGTATATGTGGTAAACAGCTGCAGGAGGACATGAGCTGGGAACAAATAGACCAGATTATTAAAACATTGGGGAGTGAATCATTCCAAGCCACAACTGGGGACAGAAACTACAGTCGTACCTTGGATCCCGAACTCTCTGGAATTTGGACATTTCGGCTCCCGAACACCGAAAACCCTGGAAGTGATTGTTCTGGTTGTTAGAGTTCTTTTGGAACCCGAACATCTGATGGGGCTTCTGCAGCTTCTGATTGGCTGCAGGAAGTTCCTGCAGCCAATCAGAAGCTGTGATTTGGTTTTTGACCGTTTTGGAAGTCGAATAGACTTCCTGAACGGATTCCGTTTGACTTCCAAGGTACAACTGTATTGCTATGAAACTCACATCACATTGGAAGCTGTTAAATATGTCACAAAAGCCCAAAGAAGTGTTCAGCTACTATAGAGTTTGGGGAAACAGAGCATCTGCTTTGCATGGTGAAGATCCCAGATTCAGTCCTTGCCATCTCCAGGTCGGACTGGTAATACGTCTGAATGAAATCCAGGAAAGCCACTACCAATCACTGCAGACAATACTGAGCTGTCTGAACCCAGGCAGCTTCCTGTGCTCTTAAAACTTCAGGGACCGTCTCTCAGACACATAAGTTTTGACATTCAAGCTTGTAGTACCACTGTTGTTTTATTTCCCCCTGCTACATCTGTAGGTCTGTGTTCTTATTTTGAAATAGTGAAGTAAAAAGGTAAAGGATTGGGCTGAGACCTGAGGCCAAAAAAAAGGGGGTGCCTGTAATTCTGGGAGTGTGAAATCCAAAATCGAGGGATAACTCTGCTAAAGCAAACATGAGTTTTGCGGTGGCTTTATGACTAACAGATTTAATGCGACAAACATTTACAAATTAGCGCCTGCTTTCTCTGATTAAACGATGGTTTTGGGGAGAAATGGGGGGGAGTGGAGCAATAAATAAAGAAATATTTTTTTAATCTTATTTTACACACAAGGCAGAAAGATTGAGGCCTTGTGTGGAGAAGCTTAGATCACAAGGGGTAAGTGATCATCTGGCAGGTTGTGGGGGAAAGCAAAGTCTTTCCAGTATCCTCGTTCAAATGCTACTTCTAATAGTTACAGCAAGCACCAAGAGGCAGCCAGAAAGCTGTGTCAACAGGATCTAACAAGTTTTTTTAATGCTTTCCTGTAACTGGGTTGAACTTGGTGCATTTGGCCACCCTAAGTTTCCACTGTGGGGAAGAAAGGTGAGGTGGAAATTGGATTACGAAGATAAATATGATATCTCCCACAGATCATTGGCCTCATCATGATTCTTGTTGAACACTCTTCTTTTTGTTGAACACTCTTCTTTTAATCTTCCTGTTGCCGGTACTAAACAGTAACCGCCTTTCCCCATATATGCCCACTAGACCTCAGTCTGCAGAATTAAAGGTGCCAACATAATACTCATTCCGCACTTGTACGAAATCATTCTTTCTTTTTGGCAGCAACACTTTGGAACTCCCTGCTTATTGACGCCAGGCAGGCAAGTTTGCTGTACGGTGGTGCCTCGGGTTACATACGCTTCAGGTTACAGACTCCGCTAACCCAGAAATAGTGCTTCAGGTTAAGAACTTTGCTTCAGGATGAGAAGAGAAATTGTGCTCCGGCGGTGCGGCAGCAGCGGGAGGCCCCATTAGCTAAAGTGGTGCTTCAGGTTAAGAACAGCTTCAGGTTAAGAACGGACCTCCAGAACGAATTAAGTACTTAACCTGAGGTACCTCTGTATTCCTTTTGTTGCCTGCTTAAACCATTTTTGTTTAAGTTACATATGTTTCGTTTCTTTTTAGCTACTGTTGATTTTAATCATCTTTTGAACATATTTTAATGCCTGTTTTTAACTGTTTTATTATCCATTATGTTAACCTTTTCATATGTTTGAAAACGGCTGACGGGCTTTTGCGCAACCAAGCAGTATATAAATGTTGTTCAATAAAAGGAATCCCACTTTTCTCAGTGGTGGTTTTCTCCTTGCTTAAAAATGGGAGAAGGGGAAAAAACTTGCTCTTTCCTTAACTAGCTATGCTCATAGGGACTTTCCAAGGCACCGTTATTAAGAGTCCAGAGGGGTGGTATAGATCCTTTGACACTAATCAAGATGCAATATTTTCTCGTAGCACTTTCTTAAGTTTGATTTTCTGTCGCTCTGCTCCCGCGTGTTCTGCCCGACGCTAACCAACAAATCATTTATCTCTTTAATAGGGCTGTGGGTGCCATTTATTAGCCGATAACTCTTGAGCGATTTGCGTCAGCAAGAGCAACAAATTGCTAATAAAGTGCGTAAGACGTGCAGAGAGGATTCTTTTTAAAAAACAAATGTGGGGGCTATGCTACCTGGGCAAGTCACTCTCCCCCACAATCGCAAGATAACAAAGAAATGAACTTTAGTTCCCAGCTAGAACACTGGATCAGGTTTTAAAGAGAGGTATTGACAAGGTCACCCGTGTTACAATTCCCAGAGTTTTCCTGCATAGAACTAGGGGTGTTTGAGAGTGGCTCAGCGTTTATTAACAGTTCCTCTCGTCCCCTAGGAAAAGCCACTCTCTAGAGCTCAATCGGAGCAAACGTCCATTGAGTTTTCTGCAGACTGTCGTTTGTTCCTATTCAGCAATGAGCAGCGGGTTTTCCCCGGGGAAGTGGCGGGATGAAAGAAAACTTCTCAGACCCATGCCTAGAAATAATGGGGCAAACAGAAGAAATTGCATGTTAAACCCAAGTGTGGATGAGTGTATTCTCTGCACTGACTGGCCCTCTAGGATTTCAGACACAGATCTCTCCCATCCCTGCCTGGAGATACTGGGGCTTGAACCCGGGGTCTTCTGCATGCAAAGCAGATGCTCTGCCACTGAGCCATGGTCCTTGCTTACCTTTCTGAGCCCCAGGTCTTTTCTACTGGACCCCAGATCTCCTGCATTCTCTCTCCCCTTTTAATTTTATTTTAAACCACAATTATTATCACTATAAAAGGGACACGGGTGGCGCTGTGGGTTAAACCACAGAGCCTAGGACGTGCCGATCGGAATGTCGGTAGTTTGAATCCCCACGACAGGGTGAGCTCCCGTTGCTCGGTCCCTGCTCCTGCCAACCTAGCAGTTTGAAAGCACACCAAAAAAGTGCAAGTAGATAAATAGGTACCGCTCTGGCAGGAAGGTAAACGGCGTTTCCGGGCACTGCTCTGGTTCATCAGAAGCGGCTTAGTCATGCTGGCCACATGACCCAGAAGCTGTACGCCTGCTCCCTTGGCCAATAAAGTGAGATGAGCGCCGCAACCCCAGAGTCGTCCGCGACTGGACCTAATGGTCAGGGGTCCCTTTACCTTTATTATCACTATGCCATTCTGGAAAGCTCAGGGCTAGCTGGATCCCAGCCACCAACCATCTTTAATTAGCTCAGGGAGCTAACATTGTAATATCTACATATAAATTAGCGTATGCAATTTATATGCAAGTCTTTTTAAGTACATAGACGCGCCTTTGCTGAAAAGGAATTTCAAACATAAAAGTATCGCTGCTAAGCAGAGGTTGGATGGCCATCTGTCATGGATGATTTAGCTGAGATTCCTGCATTGCAGGGGGTTGGACTAGATGACCCTTGGGGTCCCTTCCAACTCTGATTCTATGTTTCATCTTAACAGGCCCTTGTGGGGAAGATCTTGCTCAGATCAAGCCACTCAGTCAAAACTCATTGTGATAATTGTTGATGGTTTTTTCGGTGGGTTTCTTTTCTTGTGGTTCTTGCCACTTAGAACAGCTTCTGCTCGGGGGGGGGGGCAAGATATGAGGGTTTTTTTTAAAAAAAAAATAGCTTTTAAAATATCTCCCTAAGTGGCATTTGTGTTTGTTTTATACCAGTCACCAAGCAACCACCAGGAGGCATCGCTTAACAAGAGCAAAATGGCAAAGAGAAGGGTTGCTTCTCCTTGCAACGGGTACATAGCTTCTCTGTAAGCTGCCTCTGTTCTTTGAATCTCACCAGAAGAAAACTAAATGCTTTTCTTTTTCTTTTAATCTCACAACTTCAAGGAGAAATGAAGCCACTAGTCTTATCTATGGAGTTCCAAGTTGTGCTTTAGCAAATCCCGGCCCACTCTTTTTGGCTTCTCTAGTTCACCATTTCTTCATGTAAGGAATATTGTACTGGGTGTGGCCTGGATTTGGCTGCATTGTTTTGCTGGGCTTGGAAGAACCTCTTACCATCCAGGTGTTTCTGTACCATATTCCCCTACATCCAGACCCTGATCGCTGACCATACTGGCTCGGCTGATAAGGAGTTGGGAGTCCAAGAACATAGGGACCACATTCACACCACAACTTGCCAGTTAGCTCAGTTGGTCAGAGCATGGCGCTGATAACGCCAAGGTCGCGGGTTTGATTCCCATATGAGTGTGTATTCCTGCTTTGCAGGGAGTGGGACTAGACCAGGGGTCAGCAAACTTTTTCAGCAGGGGGCCAGTCCACTGTCCCTCAGACCTTGTGGGGGGCCAGACTATATGGAGGGGGGGGTGAACAAATTCCTATGCCCCACAAATAACCCAGAGATGCATTTTAAATAAAAGGACACATTCTACTCATGTGAAACAAACGGGCCGGATTTAGAAGGCGATTGGGCCAGATCCGGCCCCCGGGCTCCCATGGGCTAGACGCTCCTTGCAGTTCCTTCCAACTCTATGATTTTATCATTCTATCAAGGACGCCATGGGGACAGGGCCTCCCAAAATTTTCAAGAAGGGGGCAAGGCCTGCTTAAAATTCCATGGCAGCTGTGCACACGTACTGCAGAGCATGCTTGCATCATGCACACAAGCCCCGGGATGTGCGCACAACACATCAGCGTATGCCCCATTGCGCGCAAATGGCATCAGCATGCCGTAGGGTGTGCGCAATCACGGGGACAAATCAGTGCGCTTGCATTCTATCATTTAAAGTGCTATGATACTACTTTAAATGGTCATGACTTCCCCCAAAGATCTCCGGGAGCTGTAGTTTCTTTAGGGAGCTGAGAGGTGCTTGGAGACCCGCAATTCCTCTTGCAGAACTACCGTTCCCAGAATTCCCTGGGAAGAGATGTTGATTGTTAAACCATTCTGGGCACTGTAGTTCGGGGGGGGAGGGGGCTCCTAACAACTTTTAGAACCCTTAAGAAATTACGACCACCAGCATTCTTTAGGGGACACCATGACTGTTTGAAGCGCTGTGATACCAATTTAATGTATGGTGTTACTGGGGGCCACAGGTAGTTGTTTTATTTATTATGGTTATTTTTAATAAGGATGAGGAGGATATTAATGAATCACTTTTCACGGAAATGGCAAGGTGATTGTCAATCATACAATAGAAGGAATTAAATATAGGTTTCCGAGCAATTGAAACAAACACCCATGAAAAGTTTATTGGAACAAGAGTGTCTTCAATTGTTTCTGGAAAGTACAAATAGTGGGTGTTATCACTATGATGTCATGAGAGTAGCCATAATAATAATAATAAAAATTTATTTATTTATACCCCGCTCATCTGGCTGGGTTTCCGCAGCCACTCTGAGCAGCTTCCAACAAAGTATTAAAATACTGTGGTCTGTTAAACATTAAAAGCTTCCCTAAACAGGGCTGCCTTCAGATGTCTTCTAAAGGTCTGGTGGTTGTTTTTCTCTTTGACATCTGGTGGGAGGACGTTCCACGGGGCTGGTGCCACTACCGAGAAGGCCCTCTGCCTGGTTCCCCGTAACCTCACTTCTTGCAGGGAGGGAACCGCCAGAAGGCCCTCGGCGCTGGACCTCAGTGTCCAGGCAGAACGATGGGGGTGGAGACGCTCCTTCAGGTATACTGGGTGGAGGTCGTTTAGGGCTTTAAAGGTCAGCACCAACACTTTGAATTGTGCTTGGAAACATACTGGGAGCCAATGTAGATATTTCAAGACCGCTGTTATGTGGTCTTGGCAGCCGCTTGCCCTGCACATATTGTTGGACTTCAGCTTCCATCATCCCAGGCCATTGGCCATGCTGGTTCAGGCTGGTGGGTGGTACAGCTGCCACAGAAAAAAATAAAAATAAGAATGCCTTAATCCCGGACCAGAGGTGCCTGTGATGATCCACCCTACAAATGCAATTCACAGTCCACGGAACTCACCAAACCTGATGCTCCACCATGCCCACTTAAGAGCACAAGGTCTCTGCCTCTCAGCATCTGCCCACCTGACTTCCAAAGAGGCGTCATACCAAACCCTCCTTTCCAGATCTGGCCAGTGACCCCATTATTTGAGCCAGTCTAAAACATGGGAAGAAAGGAGACCGAAGCACAAGTCACTGGGAAAGAATGAAGGATGGACAGACAGTTTCCGGGTAATGGCTGAAGAGAACTGACTAGGGATTGCCTGCCTAACAGCAGACAAAGGATACCCAGATGGAACAGGCTGAAAATTTAATGTTTGGCTCTAGCGTCCCAAAGAAGCTGTACTTGTATTGACTACCAAAATCAATACATACAAGGAGGGGATGTGCAGCAAAATATTGCATTCCCCATGACCCACTCTCAACTCAGTCACGTTTTACAACTTTTTGCTCCCGTGAGAGCTAGTAAATTCTGAGTTACAGAAAGCATGGGGCAAAGAGTGGCTGTTAAGATAATAAACTTTACAGAGTAAACATTGTTGCAATGGGATGTTTAAATCGGCTCTTTAAATTTTCAAGGCCTTTGCCTCTGAGGAGATTTTCCACCATCCGAAAATATTGCAAAGGCACAAATGTTTTTTTCTCAACGCTCCATTTTCAAATACTAATTTATTATCCTCTATCCTATTTGTTTAGAGAAAAGGTGAAATGTTTTCTGCCCTTCTTCTTCTTCTTCTTCTTCTTCTTCTTCTTCTTCTTCTTCTTCTTCTTCTTCTTCTTCTTCTTCTTCTTCTTATTCTTCTTCTTCTTCTTCACAATCGCTCTGTTATCTGTTTGGCAGCATCTGCACTTCGTAACTCGCTACCTATTGAGATCAAGCAGATGTCTTGTTTTCTGACAAGCCCACCCAGATGCTTAGAAATCTGAGGTAATTGCAAGCTGCTTTTACATTTTAGCTTTTGTATGTTTTAAAACTGAAATTTTTCTCAATTTTATTGTTCTGTCTTAACTTTGAGGTTCTTTCACAATCAAATGGTGTATAAATCTTAGGAAATAAATAATTGTGGAAATCGTGTTTGTTTCAGCATTCATTTAGGGCTACAATACGTCTGGGTTTCCCTGGATACTTCTCCCAAAGCCCAAAAACTAAAAACAAAAACAAAACTCAACAACTTCGTTTGGATTTTCAGTTTGGGGAATATAGCAACCCTAATTCACTAATTAAGATTCTGATTTATTCTTCCTCACATTGGTCTGCAGCTTGACTTTTTTCTGCTTGTAATGGCTGCCATTATATTTTCCCAGAGTGCACCAGCGGGAAGGGAAAAGCTAGGGAAAAGCAAGCTCTCCCTCCTTCTCGGTACAGTTAATTAAGCCCATCAATTATTATTATTATTATTATTATTATTATTATTATTATTATTATTATTAAAAAATCATTTATACCCCGCCCTCCCCGGCCAGAGCTGGGCTCAGGGCGGCTAACACCAATAAAATAAAATCACAGTAAAAACATAATAGGGAAAAAAGAGAGGGAGGGAAAAACCCAATTTAAAATACAAGTTAAAATGCAGCCTCGTTTTAAAATAGCTGATAAATCAAGACCATAAGGGGAGGGAAACATAAGGGTCAGACCGAGTCCAAACCAAAGGCCAGGTGGAACAGCTCTGTCTTGCAGGCCCTGCGGAAAGATGTCAAGTCCCGCAGGGCCCTAGTCTCTTGTGACAGAGCGTTCCACCACATTGGGGCCAGTGCTGAAAAGGCCCTGGCCCTAGTTGAAACCAATCTAACCTCCTTGAGGCTCGGGACCACCAAAGTGTTGTTATTTGTAGACCTTAATACTGCATCACTACAGGAAACTGGGCCCTTTCAACAAAGTCCAGCTGAAACAGAAGGAAAAGGTCAGAAACAATGCCTTCTGGAAGAATTTACTCCTACAGCAATTGCATCTTGGTGGGAAATTTCTCTAGAAATGCTGGCTAAAGCTTTTTTTTTTTTTCTTGTTTGCTTCATGCTTGGCTCTGGAAGGTACTGCTAATAAAGAAACGCCGTCTACAAATATTATTGCAGCTTCACACTGCTTTAAAATGTCACCGTCTTTGAATCATTTGTACCTTCTGAACTCCATAAATCCCATATGCATACATCAAGCTGTTTACTGAACCTTCATCACCTATCTTTGATGAAGTTAAAAGAGCATCAGGATGAATTTGGTGCAATAACTGCATACTTTTAGTTAACTGGACTTCCCCTGCATGCAAAGGCAGACTCCAGTGGATTGAGTGGACGAGGCCAATCGTAGGTCCAACGGTCAAGAAGACAGTTTCTGCGCAAGCTGTAGAGGGAAGTGAGGGGCAGGTGGGGCTTGCCAATCTGGGAAGGTAGCCCATTTAGGAGATGGAAAACTCTGGTCCTAAACCTCTTTATAAAGACTAGAGGAATGAGGTTATCATCCCTCTTTTATTGTCCATTCCAGGTCTCCTAGCCACTGTCACAGTGTCCTTTCTCTTGACAGATCAAGATGAGCAGGTGACAGCAAAGGTTGCAAGGTTTTTAGCCGGGACAATTAGAATAAGATCCACTATTTGACTCTTGATTCAAAACGCTAAAATGTATTTTATATAATTGACTTTTTATCTTTATTCTTTGTATATCGTATTGTTGTTTTATTGCTATGGCCAGTGGCTGATGCAAATAAAGATTCATTCATTCATGCTGGTCCTAAACCTCCACTGTCTTGTGGGATATCTTTACTCAGGAGTAAAGCCCACACAAATCGGAACTGGAGTCCCTCAGGTGTTTGGATGGTGTCCTTCCAGCAACTCCTGCAGCCAAACTGGTGCCAAATGAATTGTGCTACTTTCCATTGGACCACATCAGCAGTCTAAGGGGGGGGGGTGTCTGATTGTCTGGGCAGCATACACCCTGCCCAGGCTTGCACCCCAGGGAAGTCACTTCAGTGCTGCTGACGCAGCAGTTTGACTTCACCCCTGAAGGCACACTCCATTGAGATAGGCAGATGCTAACAGCAACTCACTCAACCAGCTATTCAGATTTACATTCAGAAAAAGACCAGAAGCCTTCCTCCTAGGAATAATGTCAGTGGAAATCAGACAAGATATAAGACCATTTTTAATGTACGGAACAACAGCAGCCAGAATATTAGTGCAGGGGCGTAGTAAGGGGGGGTGGGAGGCAGTCTGCCCCAGGTGCCATCATAGAGGGGGGTGACAAATTATCAAGGAACAATTATTGCCCTACTAGGGTGGTTCATAAAAAACCTTT